CCTTCCTTCTGAGGAGTGGCTGCTGGATTTGAACCACCTGTCTTCTGGTTAGCAATCAAATGCCTTAGGCTCCACCAGAGCTTCCTGAAATTCAATAGAATTATTATATAATCACAGAAAATCAAATGAGCTCATGGAGTGGTGGAATCACTTATTGAAGAATCAATTCTGGTACCAAAGTGTTGGTGCTGACATTTTGCAAAGTTGGATCACTATCATATGGGGTATTATCTGTGCACTACATTAGGAACAAACATATGAGGATATTTCTCTTACAACTAGACTCAAGGATAAAATTGTGAATGTCATTATAAAACCTACTAAGCTACTTGTTACTTTTTTCTTGCTGCCCTTATGACTTTGGGCTTGAGTTAGAATTTGTAATATTCAAAAGAGGAATAATTTTGCAAGAGAAAACTCAATTTCTAAAATGAACTATAAGTTAAAATTTTCTTCTGGGCGTTGTGGGATTCTTCATTTCACTGAACCAGAACCAATAGGTGAAATGGATACTTTGTATCCTTTTGCGTGACAGATACTGATTATCAAAGACAGGAAAGAGACAGGAAGGAGTATAACAGTAACCCAGCAAACTTTCCAGAATGCCTTTTAATATTGCTATGCCTGATAATGCATCATAAATTCATGACTATAGCACTTCAGCAGAGGCAGAGCCACAAAAGTCAGATACTTCACCAGAAGGTTTGAGTCACCTACCGGGTAAACTTCAGGACATTAGGGTTATTATTGAGAATAAAGCAATAGAAAATTTATATTGAAGGACAATATTTCCTTTCAGTCTATTTCATTTGCCTATCAAAACTTTGCTCTAATAATACATTTAAAATTCTTGCTTTTCAGTGAACAAATAAAAATTGAAAGACTCCTTTGGCCCTCTCAAAGGACCCACATGACAAGGGATTGACACAACTTTATATGTTTTTTGACTGCTACTGGACCCTCTCTCTCTCTCTTTCTCTCTCTCTCTCTGTCTTTCTTTTTCAATTCTAGAGACTCTGTGATCCTCATGGACCATGGCTCTGGAGCTTAGGCCTAGCTGTCTTAATGACTAAGTTAAGCACCTTTATCTCCCAGAGGACTATCTCTCAAAAGGAGAGGGAAACCTCAGTGCTACAATTATTTGCTAAAATTGCACCGGTATGCTAAAATCAAAACCATTATAGATAACTGTTGCAGATATTTTGTCTGACTATCGGGGATTATAGATGGTTCAGCGTCTCTACTTTTCTTATATATCCAGTGCAATCTGTGCTCCTTCTTTGAAAGCCATAGGCACCTAGGAATGGCGGAGGGAGAATGCCCTGCAGATTGATTCCTCAGGTTAGCTTTCATTACTTTAGTTGTGACATAGTCATTAATTAACTTTATGTTTACCATTTCTAGAATTAAAACAATGAAAAAAAAAAAAAAAGGAAAACACTGGAATTCTTCCTCACTTCTGATGTTGTTGTTATGTGCCGTCGAGTTGGCCCCGACTCATAGCGACCCCTCCTTGGGTTTCCGAGGCAGTATCACTACGGAAGTAGGATTGCCCATCACTTCTGATAGGATGTGCCAAATTACCAGAATATACGAGGCAAAAGTAACTTTTATAATATATAAGTTTTTGACAAATAGTAAGTGACAAACAGATGACTTGTTTGTTGGCTACTATTAGAGGCATTGCCTTTTCAATGTACAAATGTTTTCAATCATAAGCCTATTAAAGTTTGAATGACTTATTAGGAGTAAATCCTAAAATTTAAAATAACATGTCTCTTTGCTTCTAGGAAGAATAATAATGAAAATGTTCTTTTTAAAAAATATCTTCATTTATAGGCTCTATTTTCACTTTACAACTCTTAGATATAAAATAGTATCAAATTAAAGTTTGGGTCTTTTATAATAAGTTATTTGCATATTTGAATTTTGAAGGGACTGCTTTTGTTGTTGCTAGGTGCTGTTGAGTCATCTCCAACCCATAGCACCCTCAAATACAACAGAACGAAACATTTCCAGGTCCTATACCAGCCTCTGGTAGCATAGTGCCTAAGGCGCTTGACTGCTAACCAGAAGGCTGGTGGTTCAAACCCACCAGCCACTCCTCGGAAGGAGGGTTGGGCAATCCTACTTCCGTAGTGATACTGCCTCGGAAACCCAAGGAGGGGTCGCTATGAGTCGGGGCCAACTCGACGGCAAACAACAACAACAACAACAATAATACCAGCCTCATGATCCTTGCTATTATCTGAGCCTTGATGGGGCTAGTATTGTTTTATTTTTGGCATTTAATATATTCTTAAATAACAATAATACAAAATGCTATTTTTCTCTGTCATCTATTCCCCTAGGCAAAATATTATAATTCAGACTTTTTTCTTTCTAAACTTTTAACAGTTTCTTTGATTCCTTTCTTCACCTCAAATGGTTTATCCACAATGCCTACATATATCATTATCTCTAAACTGAATTAGCATTGATTATTTTGGTACTAATTGTGGATTAAGCAAGGAAAAGTACAATAAAAAATAAAATTAATAACTCACATTTGTTGAGAACTTATTCTGTCAAAAATTATGGTAAGTTATTAACATGCATTACTCATATTATATCCTCAAAAAACCTTTGAGAGCTATATTATGTTTATCTCCACGTTATACATGAGGATGACATCAAAGCTTAAATAACTTGTTCCAGGCCCCAGTCTGAAAGTGAGAGAAGCAAAGCTGAAAACCTAAGTCTATTTCCACTGAAATTCCTACTAACCACTGCCCTAGTACAGATACATTAGGTTTTTCTCTGAATCTTTATGCTTAGTTATCATTCATCTTTTATCTGTATAATAAATATATATATTGATTAATTACTATTTGTCAGACATGGAACATTATGTTGACAATATATAGAAGGAAATTGAAATTTTCATCTTAAGGAAATTATTGTCAAGGTACGTTGAAATACTCTAATTATTGGCTATGATCTTGGAAGCATGATGCATGCAGAGGTGTTTTGATGCAGAATTGAGAATTAAGTAGCTCATTCTGAAGATGTGAAGCTTAAACCAATCTCTAAAGCACATGTAGAAGTAAGTCAGGTAAGGGAACAGGAAAGGCTCCTTGTCGCAAGATGAGATAGTGTAGTGAGTAAGAACATGGATTCTGGAGTTGTCATGGCTTCAAATCCTCATTCTGACATCAGTAGTTGACTTTCAACAGTCTTCATTTCTTTGTGCCTCAGTTTTCTCGTGTGTAAACTAGGGAATATTATAGAACTTATCTCATGTTATTGTTGTATGGCTTAAATAATTTACTATGAAAAGCACTTACAAAAATGTCTGGCATATAATAAATACTCCACAAATGTTTAGTATTACAATTATAATTATTTCTTAGAGAGAATTATGCATATAAATACCTGAGGAGAGAGATAGGGTAGACTTTAATGTTAATTCAAGGAGTTCAAAATGCATTTTAGCTGCATATTAAGTGAAATATGATAAATATGAAAGTTATATTGAGTATAAATAAGGATACACTCAAGTGTATATTTTTATTCAATGTCCATGACTAAAGTATTTTCTCTAGCTCTGGTGGCATAGTGCCTAAGGCATTTGACTGCTAACCAGCCACTTCTCAGAAGGAAGATTGGGTGATCTACTTCCATAGTGATACTGCCTCAGAAACCCGAGGAGAGGTCGCTATGAGTTGGATCCAATTCTATAGCAGTGAGAGTTTTGAGCCCCATCTAGAAGAGAAATCTTGGAATGGGTATGCAAATCACTTTTGTGTTTGGATATGCACATTTTTTTCTCTTAAGAGGCATATAATTTCCATCAGAATCAAGATGAAAAGAGTATCTATGACCCACAAAAAATAACTGCACCTCCTAAATAGCTTTTTAAATTCAGTCACATCCTTTATATCCATTGGTATTAAATTTTCTTCGCTGAGACTACTGAAGCACCCAAGATCTCCAAACTGAGACTATTTAAAATGTTTCACTCATTCACTGCTGTGGAGTCAAATCTGACTCATAGTGACCCCTCCTTGGCAGTATCACTACGGAAGTAGATTGCTCAACCTTCCTTCTGAGGAGTGGCTGGTGGGTTTGAACTGCCAGCCTTATGGTTAGCAGTCAAATGCCTTAGGCACTATGCCACCAGAGCTCCTTTAATTGTTTACCAAATGTCAATTGTTTGTGCTCACTTCCAAAAACTGCTTCATGATATTGAAGTTATTGTGTTAATAATGAGTTAGAAGTGTATTCAGAAGTAGTATTTGTAAATGTGAAACACATTAGAGTGGAAAGACATTCCACTAGATGCAGAGATAAAAGACCCAATTCCACCAATTGCTGGAATTGGGAAATGAAATTCAACTTTGAATTTGTCATCAATTATGTTATAATATTCCCAGAAAGCTAAAATTAAAATGATTAAAAACTAGCTTTAAATTCTAATGCTATCAGGAGTTATATGAAACATTAGGATCAATATCAAGAGTTCTTTTGTTTCTTTTGCCTTGTGGCTCTCAGCAGGTCTCTGCCATGGGTGACAGGGAAACAAGCAATCACTCAGAAATGACTGACTTCATTCTTGCAGGCTTCAGGGTCCGCCCAGAGCTCCATATTCTCCTCTTCCTGCTGTTTCTGCTTGTTTATACCATGATCC